TCTTATTTTCTCTCCTTCTTATTCTCCTGTTATTACAATCCTATACTAAACGCGCTATACCTATACTTTTATCATTGCCTAAGAGCATACACGTTTTCGAAGTTTTGAATACAGACAGTTCTGCAGTGTTTGTACGTTTTTACATGCAGGATATGTTCTAAAAAGCGACGTATCATTCCCATCAACCGCCTGTTTAAGACGATAAACTTCAAAGTGTTTAAATCGCTAAACGCTTTAATCGACCGATCAATCTGTCTGTCTATAATCTCTGCACCGTTTGTACGGGCGAAAAAACGATACTCCTCGAGCACTTTCACGCGAAGACTTGCGAGAACGATTCGTATCCGCCGATGCTCCCCCCGCCGCCGACGCCGCGGTAATTTGTCCGTATCTGTTTGACTTCGCTCGAGACTGCAGTCGTAATTATTATTGCAGATAGAAAGCGCTGCAATTTCGGCCCAAGTGTATTTGCACGGTGCGCGCGAGCGAAGTACAGCTCGTCGCCTCCGACGTACAAACACAATTAACGAGCGGAGCGTGTGCGGACGGGCGGGACGTGCGAGAGGCGCCAAGTCTCGAATTTACTTTACGGAACCTGTTGCGGGGGTCCTTGAGTTTTGCCTTATTCGCCGTCATTTTCTCGAGCCGTGTCGCGCTTCTGTCAACGCCGCGCCGATAACATCTGATGACGACGATGTCGTCGTCGTCGTCGTAGTTGCCGCCACGCGACGATTACGCGACGCGCTCGTAATTAAACTCCGCACGATCGGGAGCTTCCATTTCGACTTAATCGATGTTGAGGTGAGATATATAATGAATCGTAGAGGATTCGCGCAGGTAGCGCCGAACTTCGATAACTATCTGCGGCTCGACGTTGCGCGTTACTCCGGAGTGATAATCCCGTAAAATAGATTTCCGTCACTACGTTTCTAGGTGGGAGTATCTCGCGGGGGATCGTCGTTGGTGATGAAATAAATTTCATTTGTTAGAGCGGACCTCTTTGCCGATAAGAAGCTACGTAAGACGTATCCTGAAAGAGATGCCTTGTTCTGCAAAAAATATTTACTGTCACACATTGGAGAGCTTTTTACGAGCTTCCTCGATTTTCTGACGAAAGTAGAAGCGTAGAAAATTTATATGGGCTTGTAAATGAATTGTTCTATGGGATTTGATTACAAAATAACGTCGAATTGTCAATAAATGTCGACAGGAATTGTCGTTGATAGTAGAACAAATTTCACTTCTGAGAATAGACTTCTTTGCCGATAAGAAGCTATGCGTATTTTTAAAGATGCCTTGCGTTCTGCAAAAAAATCTTACTGCCATACGCCGGAGAGTTTGATCGATCCGTTTGTCTCTCGTCTTGGGATTTCTTGGATTTTGCGACGAGGGTGGAAGCATGAACAATTTATGAGGGCTTGTAAAGAAATTGTTGCACGCGATTTGATCGCAAAATAGCAAAACGACGTTAAATAAATCTTGACTTCAAGAAAATAAGTAGAAATGGATGTGCGTAAGCCGATGTTTTCCATAGTCGTACTTTAGCATCGGATTGTTTAGCACCGGATTTGTCATAGGCATGAAAGTGCATCGCGCGATGCGTAACGATATTATTAAACAGGAAAGGCTGTTTTTCTTTTGCGTTTGTAAATGTGCTGTTGCAGCGCTCGTCGAATCATGAGCTGCATGCGCGCGTGCGCGCGCGCTGTTAATTTTGCAAAGTTATTTCCGCGAGCCGCGTACGACGCGGCAGCGCGTTTTATTAATCATCTCCGTGCCGGTGAAAAATTGAATTTTTAACGCTGCAATCCGACAAAAAGCGTACGTTGCGATCCTGAAATTTTCACCGGATCCCGCGCAAAGCGACAACGTATATATATGCGTATCGCGTTCTCTCCGGCCCGTTGAAAAATTGACGTATTTATGGCTAATTCTCCGTGTTAGTGTTCTTTTCAGCAGTTTAATCTCCTCATGCACATTCATTTGGAACTATAATTACGTTTTGCCTTTTGTCCGACGGTTCTGTGTTATAAACATAAAATTCTTTAAAAAACTTCCCAACATTTCAACAAACCTACTTTATCTCTCTCTCTCTCTCTCTCTCTCTCTCTCTCTCTCTCTCTCTCTCTCT